GATCCACAGTGGACAGTCTCGGTCACCACGGCCTGGTGTAAGCTGGCAAAGGAAGACACGGTACTCATGCCGTGTTGAACGCCGCAACAAAAAGAGCCCTGAATTCAGCGAGAGTGCCGTCGACGCTTGAGCCACCGGGACTGGATAGAGGTGATGGGAAGCGGCCAGACGGAGTTACGGCTTTTCCCTGGCGCAATGGGAAGCCGTTGGTATGGGATGTCACTGTTGCCGATACCTTCGCCCAGATCTACATAGGCCATATATCACGTGTTCCTGGAAGCGCAGCGGAAGTGAGAGAATCAGAAGTTACGGAAGTACGATGGACTCGCGGATCGATACGTAGTACAACCTCTGGCTTTTGAAACTACGGGAACTTTTGGACCGCTAACCAAGAAATTTTTCAAAGACCTGTCAAGAAAGATTTGCGAATGTAGTGGTAACCCTCGGTCGGGAGAGTTTTTGCGTCAGAGAATCAGCACCGAGATACAACGCGGAAGCGCGGTGTCTGTCCTCGGAACATTTAATGAGATGCGAGACAACGAGGACGTTTTTTTAGCTTTTAGATTGGCTGATTGGGAATGATTAGTGCCCGATGTTGTTTTTCTTCTCAGCTCGGCTGTGATTTTGTTATCGTCAATGAAAGATGGACAAACCGTCTAAAATACTAAAAGTCATAATTATTAACAGTTACGGATATAAACAGCAGCCGGCGATGCTGAACGTCTGGCGTTGATTTTTAGCCAAATTTTTGTTACAACACACTGAGCACAGCACATCGAATACAGCATTCGCAAAATGCCGTTGTTTTATTCCGTGCCAGTGATTAGCAAATTGGCCGCAGATCAATCAGACATTTAATTCCACCATGTACAGCAACGAATTGCGATCGTTTAATTGTTCGGACGCGTCGCCATTCTGTGAGATTTATCCCGGCAGCGACATCTTCGAGTGGAACGCGGTCGATGTGCAGAATGCCAACGGGCTGCTCGAACGTGGTCTGGTCATCAACACCGCTAACTGCGGCCTGCTCGTAGATTTCGGCGTGCCCGGCCGACGCTCGCAGCGTGTCCCGTTCAAAAAGGCGTTATACTGTCGCAATTTCGCTGAACATCGTTTCGGTCCCTACCAAGAATGGAACGCAGAGCATCACGGGGCGTTGAGCTTTCATGTCCTCGCTCGTACGGTTGCGCGCAACCACGCAGTTTTTTTCTGCAGCCGGCGAAAAATTACCGTCAGACAAGCGGCTGAGTACAGTGCTGTGATGCCATTCCACTGTGTGGCAGTAGAATGCGAATCAGCAGTCAGGACTCCTAGAAGGCGGAGTCAGGACTGTTCGCTTTCGTTTGCGGCTTTGTTGTCCAGACAATCATTGGGCATCTTTTAAAAGAATTTTTGCTTTCTCACCACCGCTCGTGCTGCTGATCAACAAGGGCGCTTTTTGCCAGCTTCCGACAATCGGAATTACTTCTTGTCATGCATGGTTAATTGAGTTGAGGCACGAAATTAGGTTTTTACTGTTACGAGGTATTAAAAAGTGTCTTAATGTTTGTCATGCTATGGGATATCGGGTTAACTGCTCATGGTCGCTAGGGGAATCCTGAAGAGTCGAAGACTAATGTCCGTGAACGGGATAAGCTTGAGGGTCAAACTTCATAATATTGTCACGTTTAATATGTTCGAACTATTTAAGTTTATGAAAACCGTCGTAATTTGCACGTACGCACTTTAAATTGGGGCTCGTATTTCGCAATATTGTTTCTTTTGCTATGTTCGTAATTAAGTTTGAGCAAACCGTTGCACTTTTCGCTTGCTTGACGTGTGCACCTTAAAAATTATGCCCGGGGCTCAGGACAACTGTTTTCGCAGCTAACGGGAAGCCTACAAGCGGAAATGGATAATTTTTTCAGTTTAACTGATTGTATGTAATAATAATTATTACTGTAATTAACAATACGAGGACGAGCTTAGTACATGTGATAGACAAAAAAACTAGCGAGAGAATCTGATAACCATTTGCGTGCTGTGCAACACTGTCAGCCACCTTAGGCTGGCGGTAGCCGCGCGCCGTCACGCAGCCGTTAGCTGAACACGGTCTGCTATTTACGGTAACGCACACTCGTATTGAAATTTAAATGCGAGTTTTGTTTTGGTTTTATAACTCTGTTTATAATTGGTTCTCCGCAAAATTTCCAGTAACCAGTGACTGACATTAATTAACCAATCTCTTGATAGTAATGTTATAAAATTACCATCTAAATATAAAGATTCATCTGGCGAGATGTACTACGATGAGAAATTGAGAATATCACCGACGTACGGCTACCTGCCAGTTTGTTTTCTGCACCTGCGATGGAGATTTCTTTCACGAGTATCAGCGTTGTTTCGGGCCTACCGTTGAGTGAGAATTGTGTGGAGGAACCTGCCAGCGACGTCCTCAGAAAAGAGAAAACTTAAAGATTCTCGTCTGCGCGCCGAAGCAGGGCTTATTGCGACTGACAGTAAAGTAATCGCAGCGCTCGAGCAACGGGAAGCAGAAAAACTGATGCAGAAAAATAAGCGAAAAGAAACACTCGTAGCGGACTTAGCGATGTGACAAATACTCCGACTAAAAATTAAAAAATCTTTCAGAATGGGTAAAAAGTGAGTACTCTGAAATTTCACATGGTTCTACAAAGTCAAAGTTTTACTGTAAGAAATAAAGCGTGCGGTATTTAATACTGGGGTGATTATTTGTATTAAATGTGATGTATTTACCAGCACTGACAGACCTGGGTGGTTGCCCGTGTTGCACGGGCCGGGCATGGTTATCAGATTCTCTCGCTAGTTTTTTTGTCTATCATATGTACTAAGCTCGTCCTCGTAGTAGAAGTTGCATAAAAAAATAATAATAAAACGATACATACACTTTTATACAGTTTTTAATAATAATTTAATTACGAGTAATATTTAATTGCTTTTTTGGGACTGAATTTTGGTGAGTGTCGGACACAACCGTGTTTAGTCACCGTACAATTTTGGATTTTTAAAATTAAGGAAATGCTTATTCTTTTGGGGTAATACTGTATTTTATGACAGTGTGATACTTCCGCCTGCTTACGTTACGGACTGAATTTTCGAGACAGTTTAACCGCTCCGGCTCATTACTTTACACAACGTTCAAAACTCGAAAGTGCAGCTTTTTAAAAACTACGAGTAATAAAAAGTTATTTAGCTGTTTTTTTTCGCAGCACAGTTTTTGTTACAGTATGAGAGCTCCGTCCTTCCATCGTGCCTCATGTGATGCAAAACTTCGGCGCGGTGGTTGGGCGATTATGGAGCCACTCAAGTTCTATTGTATTTGATTTTGTTTGACTTATTTGCTGTTAGCATATTGCTCTGATTTAGTTTAGCAATTTTAAAATTTAATGTAATGCACTGCAAATAGCAGCGACAGCAAATTGTAGCCTTTTGCGATTGCTGTTATTAGTAAGCTAACGCGCAAATGTTACCGCGCGAAAAAAAGACGTTATAAAGAACTTGTGAGATGATAACTGGCGGAGAAAACGGCAAACGCACGTGACTGAATTAAACAGTTGGACAAACCACAGAGGAAACAAATTTCCAAATTCCGGGTGTAGACATCAAGCAATGCCAACATCGCGCTGTTTTTTTAGTAGAAAAAATTTTTCGAAATTTTTCCGTAAGTAAGATTTGGCTGAAATTTGTGAATAAAACGAAATAAATGGATCCTTTTCGGTTTGTATTTAGAAATTTAAACAGATCTAAAATATTTCCACTGTGAGCTTTTTCACGCGTACGTACGAAAGCATTTTGCACGAGGGGCAATGAGGACCTACAGGGTAGGCGTTACACGGAGTGACAAACAAGACCCGCGTCCGCAGTACTAAAACTCTGACAATGTGAGGGTCTGACGGTGCTCAAGAAAGCCGGTGTTGGCGATCGATAACGGATTGTTCTGATAAACCACGTTCGTATATTCTGGTACCAGGCTCGGTGTTTACCAGAAAGTATTATACGAGTATGCCGTATCTAATCAAAATTAATATTATTCAGCCTTAATTGGCAACACGCGAACGATATGACCAAGCGCATTCGATAGCCTCTTCCATAAAAATGGAGCGGTCTCGTCGTATCGTGACCTGTTTTACGATAGATGTTAAATAAAATATATGGTAGTCTGGTAACTGTATAAGAGGAAGTGTATCGTCTGGTGTTTTAAAGTTATTTATTAGGTGGGACCTCACTGCACGCTACAGATCGAAGTTGGTTTCCGAACATGGCGGGCGTTAGCGATAGAGATTGCCCTGTTTCTGGCGATACTCACGATGCCTACAGATCCTGGTTTGAGGAAGTGGAAAACGTGTGCACGACGGCCGTAGTCGAGAAAAGAAGCGATATCATGAAGAAAAGTTACGAATATCTGGTGCGTTGAAACGAGTATGGTAGTCAGTGTGTTTGTTTGTATGCAACTGCATAACGCGGTAGGCTTGTGCAGCGTCTAATATGCTGCCTGTTGTTTTCTACAGGAAGCAAGATACACCGAAATCAAGCTTCTAATGGATCGTTTATCGGGCGATCGGGGTAAATCGCAAAATAATTCTCCAGGATGAGTTTGGAAGCAAAAAATCGATTCAAATTCGCTGCTAATTATTATTATGATAATGCAGTAGGTACGACCCACCAGTATCCGACGAGAAAGCAACTCAACGATTCATCTTATCTGGACAGAAGCTCACCCGGGGTGTCAAATGTTGCCGCCTTAAGGTGATTATAAAAACTGACGGTGCATCGGTGTATTCTTTTTTTAAATAAAATATTCCGTACACATAACTTAGAAATGCTACACTTGGCGGTGCATCAAGACTCAGTGTTTAGGATGTGTTGCAGTCAAAATATTCCGGATACTGGTAACAACGGGGTTTGGAGACAGCAGAACGACAAGTCGGAGACCAAGGTTGTGACAAAATTCACCAAAAGCTATTTTTATTGCTAAAAAATTTATCTAA